AGCCCAGAGAACGGACAGAGCAGTGGTTCCAGGGCTCCAGAGATCTGCCTCCTCATGGCTCATTCCCCTGCAGAAGCCGGGTGGAATTTCTGTGCTTCAGCCCATTGTCTGCACTGCTGCCTCTGCTCTCGTTAGGATGCTCAAAAACAAATCCCACACCAAAAGTCTGGTTCCTGTGCCTCTAACTCAGTATCTTAGGCACAGATTTATGTGTGAATTAATAATCTATGCCTTCAGCTCAGGAAGAAAAGCCTTTTGTACCTCAGCCTCAAGAGATTTCTAAACTCAGGCCCTGCAGGCAATGAGTGCCCGTTTCCCTCTCTTCTACAGTGAATCATCTAAAGCTGACGAGCAACATCCTAGCAGAAATGCTGATTCAAGAGGACGAACAGTATTCCTTGGAAGATGTTTATTCTGCTAAAAGCCTCCTCAGAGGCCAGGAGGGCAGGCACTGCCTGCTGTGTGACCAGCTGGCTGGCACCCCTCCAGCCTGGCAAAGAACCACCTCTGCACAAAACCTGAAACAAACCCTCCTGGTTTGCCTCTGCTTCCACCCTGTCAACAACCTATTCCAGCACGGGATGAAACAAAATGCCAACACCACAGAATTTTCCACAGAAGAGAAATAAATACCTTTTTCTGGTCGCTTTTATAGTCACAATCTGTATATGTTGTACTGCTTTTTCACATGAATAACTGTCTTAACAGTGTCTGCTTCACTTCCCCTGCAGAAATATGGACTTAAACACAACTATTGAGGAAGCAGTCCCAAGCTGGTTTAGTTAATCAAGTTTTTATGAATAACAAGCATGATATAATTCTGAGTCCCTGAGAAAAGGATCCAGTATTTTAACACTGTTATAGTTAAATGCTGCTTTCTGTGAGGCTTTTATAAGTAACTCTTCTGTCAGCTACTGCTCATACTACTAATTTCAAAATACTACAGACTGAAACCAGAGGGGTATTTTACAAGGACTTTCTCTGTCATCATGCATATGGTGTTATTCTTGTGATCTGTTCCCTGGAGAAATGAAAAGCATCTGGATTTCTAGTTACCACTGTACTGACCCAACGAGTGACCAGTATAGACTGTCCCTGCTATTTGTAAAACAACCTCCTCCATCTGAAGGAATCCAGTTGTCTTTCCATAGCTTCACAGATCCTAAAACAGAAATATGTAGAAGTGTATTTGCAAAGGTCACTATTGCTCTAATCAGAGAGCAGAGTACTAGAAGTCAAACACCAGCACATTTTGGGTGTTGATAAGATGAAAGCAGAGTTCACTAGACTCAATCTCACAGGTTCCTAATTTATTTCATGTTGCTCAATCAGCAGTTGTAGCCTTCTGCTCATTCCCACTCGAGCTTTATTTAAGAGCACACCTGATTCAACTATCAGGTTGCTCAGGTGGCTTGTTTATTTTCTGGGTTTTGTGTAAAAAATTCTACTGTACTTCATTAGCACAAAATTATTTATTCAGCAAATTTTGGCAGGAGAACTGGACCTGATGAATCCAGCCATTTTTCTAGAGATGACAGCTTCTTTAAAGCACAAAAGCAAAACTGGCTTTTTAAATAACTGCTTTTAATTTTTTAAGCCAAATAGTTTTTCTTCTCAATAGGCAGCAACACCTTTTAATTGTGTTCAACTTCCTTTACTTCATCCTCTTTTCAAAACAGCTCAGGACACTTCTGTTCCTCAGAGGTAAATTCCTGTATGCACTAAATTAATGTGTTTTCATTTAAAAAGAAAATCTCACATTAATTAATGGATACATTAGGGACAGAGAATAAAGTGATTTCACCAAGCAAAAATAAGTGATCAATTATTAATCCTCATCAAATAATTTCTGAGGCACAACTCATGAGGCAGCATTTTCAAGGAAACCATTCATAAAGCAGAAATGCTATTGTCCAGTAATATTTCTTACATTGATTGCAGCCACTTTAGGTCTTTTTGTTTACAGAAAGTAGGTGGAAGAATCTTCAAATTGAAAGGACAGAAGATTTTGAAGAAATCAATAAAATAAGTGGTAACCAACTGTCAGAACTGGATGCTATACTACAGAGTTTATAAGAGGTTAAAAGAAGATTCAGAAATCACTAACTGTGACATGCAGAATATCACTGAGATCAACAACAGCATTAATAAAGTTGGAAGCAGTAAGAGTGGAATGAGTACAAAAATAATTGCAAGGAATGTGGGAAATGAAAGTGCAAAATCTGATATCTGCACAGGTAAATTGTAGGATTATAAGAACAGAGATACTAAACACAAACATGGTTTAAAAGGATAGTCTCCACTTATCTTCACTTTTGTGGAGGTAAGTAATGCTCAACCTATTTTTAAGGAGCTGATAAGAAGGTGAATAAAGGAGATACTCTTAATGCATTTCAATTTCTACAAACCTTTCAATAACCTTTATCTAAGTTATCTTGGGATATGAGAGATGATTATCTGATGAAGTCTGAAGAGCTGGATAAAGGCTGTTTTACAATAGAAAGCCAAAATTATTAGAGGTTACATTTGCTGGAACCTGTGTAATTTAATATATTCATAAATAACCTAGAAATAGCAGAATGGTAAGGAGTTTTTTCAATATTTGGAGTACTCAGAATTGACTGTGGAGAATTGCAGGCAAATTGTATCATCCTGTGACTTGGGATAAAGAGGCACATAAAGCTCAGTGTCTGCAAATGCAAAACCACCTACATGGGGAAAAGATGGCCAAATTAGAAATGATGCTAGGGTTTAAGTTAACTCTTGCTGCCCAGAAGGTAAGAGATCATTTTGATGAAGTGCACAAAAGACATTCTCAAATAGACAAAGAATTAGCATGGTAGAAAACAAAACATGACAATCTCTGCCTGAATCCCAGTCCACCTGAGTCTTGAGAACACTTTCAAATTCTAGATCCTCACAAAGAATAAAAGTGAGCTGGAAAATAATCAGGCAAGTTATCAATGTTTCTGTAAATACTGAATAAATTGGCAGAAGAATTGCAAAGGAGGACTATAATAAAAATCTATTCGATTATGACAGACTTGGAAGAGCAAATAGTGAAGGACAATTCCTTTCTCTTACTACAGCAACTCAAAAGCCATCAACTTTGACCTTTTTGGTAAATATTTTAAAACAAAGGGAAGTATCTTCCTCTTACAACTGTGAAACTTAATGTCACTGTATGATGTAGAGATAACAATTACGAATTCACTTGTACAGGTAAAAAAAATTCGGTATCAAACTCGATCAACGTGTATTAGATAGATATTGATGTAAATACTAGATATGCTCCTAAAGTCCAAACTTGCCAGAAACAAAGGGAGAAATATTTTACCTCATCTATTTCTTGAATTCTTTTAGGGCTTGCTACTGACCACAGTAGATTCTCAGTTAGCTGAGCTGCAGGTACTGTCTTTATGATAAACAGGTATTTAGAAATGACAGACTTGATTTGGGTCCTGTTATTATTCCCCTCTCCTCCCCACCTCAAACTCTGCCACAGTTATTACATGTTAATTTCTGTTTCTAGCCAGAATTTATCCCTCCATGTTTATACCTGCACAAGAACTATGTGCTGTCTGAGAAGAGACCAAGCCTTTGACCTCATGCTGTTGGAATAAATGAGCATATTTAGATCTTGAAATTCAGGAAATTATTTTATAATAAGATATTAACACTGAAAAGAACTACCACAAGGAATTCATTTTTTTCCATGCTGGCTCATCAAAGTTTTCTATCCCATTCTGTCTAGAAACCCTGGGTAAGCACCTGGAATACCTTGGGCTTTGTGGAGATGACACAGAAGCTGAAGATCAGATCCTTGAAAGTTTGAATGGGATTCTCCTGGCTGTTACTGAAGATAGTTAAGTATCTCTCTGGATCAACAATAAACCATTTGGACAATTCAAAAGAATTCATGGCAGGTTTTGGTTATTGTGATAATCTGTATTTCAAGAAGTGATTGCTGCTGGAACTATAGCTGTCCTCAGGCTGTGTTGCTTTCTTTTCTCTCTTTATAAAACTCACAAAATTAGCTGAGACCAGATAATGCTACTGGTCACTAAAATACCAAAAGCCCCAGAGAAATTCCAGGTTTAATATTCTATTTACTACAAACTCCTAGGATTCATTTAGAGTGGTCCTATCAGGTCAGGCATTCTAAAAGTAGTTTCTAGTCTACTTATACAAAAGTCCCTGGAGTCTTTGCTTATCCTCCTAAAATGACATAAACCTCCATTTATTTGAGTCTCCTGGCAGATGGTGATTTACTACCTTCAGGACAGATGGCCATATTTTTGATGACAGAAGGCTAAGGGAATTGTCTCTTCTAATTGCTAGTCTAATAAAAGATGCTGTGCCTACCTACAGAATTAATTGCTAGGCCATACCTCAGGAATAGCTTCTTAATCCCTGACTTCCCATGCCTTATGCAGGCATCCTTTTATAGTCAGGGAAGATGAAACTGTTTTCCTCTTTGCTTTGCCATCCCTGCTTCAATTCAGCATAAAGCAGAGTAATCAGCTGGAACCACACTTGCTGCAATTCAAGCAGATGACTGTGCCCATATATTCAGACTCAGAGAGCCTTTAAGAACCTTGTTAAATCAGAAGCTTGGATCCCAGAGATAGCCACTCAGAACTCGAGCAAACAAAGGAGCATGTGAATAAAACAGCTGCAAACCTACTGCAGGTACTGCTAACACTCTTATCATTGCAGAGCAGAGATCCTTCCATCTTCTCAGAGGGAGTGGGATCTTCCCAAGTTTGGGAAAAATCCTGAAGGGCAATCCACGATGTGCAGTGAAAGCAGCCCACGTGCTTGCAGAGATAGCCAAAAATGGTGAGTGGTGTTTGAATATCACTACAAGGCAGCTTGCAGCACACTAGCTTCATGTTTTCACTCTTGAATTTTGTTTCGCTGCTACCAGCTATTGCTACTGTAATTGTTTTACACTTAAATGGCTAAAGCCTGGAATTCCCTCCCTTTTGTCTATGCAGAGGAAATGAAGAAACCATGTATTGAGGCAGATTTGGTCCTAACACTGATACCTTTGCTGGAGAGCACAGACCAAGAGATGCTGCTCCATGCAGGGAGGGCCATTGGCCGTATCTGTTACGATAATCGTAAGTACCCACTGAAGAAAATCTGCTTTTCCCTGGCTCTAAGGCATTATTTTAAAAGGCATTGTAACCTGTAACTCATAATAACTTCATGAGACCTGAGCACATCATGCACTTCAGCCTCCAGTTCGCTATGAAATTCACAGAGCTCACAGACACCTGGCTGAACGCACCCCAAGCACTGCCTGAATTCTGGCTTTTCCCCCTACAATTTTGACTTCAAGGTGGCACATCTCTGTCAGAACTGCTTTGAAATTAAAAGAGGAGCAGAGCCTCACAAATATCTTAATCTTGCAGACTTGCCTTGGGTCTGAATCCTGAATGGCTTGGGCTTCTTCCAAAGTAATAAGAATATCTCTAAAGCAAAGCACTTGTTTTAAAAGTGTGTTAGAAAAAAGAAAAAAAACAGAAAAAAAAACGGAGTTATTTATCTATGCAAGGAATAGTCTTCTCTGAGGACCACTGCTTGCATGCAGGACGTTTTTGTGCTCCAAATTGCCTGGACACCAGTTTGTTTTCTGGTCTCACAAGTTAAACTATTTTCATTTATTTGCCTAAAACAGTTTAAGATTTTTTTATCTTTAACTCCCAGACTGACCAAAATATTTACTGTATACTGAAAGTAACATGGAAATTTTCACCCAGTATCTCGTATCCATTCCTTTCTGCCTTCAACCTATCTTCTCTAATCCTTCTAGTGTGGATCTGCACAACTTCACTTAGAAAGTTGTGGGTTTGCCTCTTCCCCTGTTCTTATGAAATCCAAGCATGATAGGTACCTGGTATAGATTCCACTAAGCTCGCTGTGAGTTACATGTATTCGCCAGGGAATGACACAATAGTTCAAAAAAGCTTTTCCCTACAATGACATTCCTGGCTCCTGCAACTCGGCACACAGCACTGCTGCAGCCATGGCCATCCTGCACATCTGCTTCCCTTCTGGCACAGCACAGATTTGCCAAGACAACTGTGACATGCTTTAATAAATCCTATTACTAACACAGCAATAAATGCATCAAAGAGAAGAAAAACTAACTTCACCGATTTTCTGTCTGAATTCCAATTGCCCATGCCACAGTAACACCAGACCCTTCCTGGGGCCTGCCGTGCACTCTGCCAGCCAGCCCAGCTCTCAGCAAGGCACTGCTGCAAAAGCTGTGCCATGCTGTCCAAATCTGTATCCTACAGTTCTTGGCACCCTCAAAATCATTCCAGATATTAAGCTTTCATTCATCACAAAACAAACTATAAAAAGAAAGAAAACAGTTATCAGGGTTTTCCTCAGCAAAGCACATGTGATGAGACAGTGGCTTAATACCTTAAGTCAAAGCTGAACCAGGAGGTTTAGCAAAAATCTGTCCCAAACTTGCATTTCCTCTGCACATATTAGCCTGGAGCCACCACACAAAAGCTTTACAAATTCTAAGAGTGTGAGAAAGGACCAGACTACCTTCCTGCAAAGCATCTCAGTGGGGGCTTTTCCACTGATTTAATCACCTTTAACACCCATGCTTCACTGATCAGGCTGCCTTCAGGAAGAGCTGGTGAAGGTTGGAGTAATCCCATCACTGGTCCGAATATTAACTGACTATGCAGAGAGTGAACCACTTGTCCACGTTGCTCTACTGGCCTTGTACAACCTGGCAGACCTTGGTAAGTAAGGTCTTTTTTAAAAGTTTTTTAAAGTTTTTAAAGTTTTAGAGCAAAATACCATCTCCACACTGTCTTTTGTTTCTGGGGTGGGGTAGGGCTTGTGTTTGGGCTTTGTTTTCAAAACAGTACTAATACCTAATCAGGAACTGGCCACAGTATCTGGATTGGAGAAACAACTACTCTTTTATGAAGCACCAGCAATTACTTATATTACATTAAGCCAATTAAGTTTTATCAGCCAGATTTTGACCCCAAATGAAGAGATATCATAACTTCATATGATAAGTTGATAGTTAGAACTACTTCAGATTTGGTACATGAAAAGCTTGTTTATAGAAATTTAATTTCTATTTCATAATTAAGTTTCTATAACTTCCTGAAACAGCTTCCATTTTCATTTACACAATTTTCAAAGCAAAAGCATCTCCACTAATTTAAAATATATTTGTGTGAAGTAGGACAAGTTGTGAGTAGTAATGGAAGAAAAAGACCAAGTACCAAATTATTAGCACTGTCTATTTATGGTCTGGCTAAAATTTGATCTACTGCTTCCTGCAGAAGATGGGAGATGCAGGGAAGGGGACATGATAGCACAATGTCACATTATTCTTTGAGGTCTGTCCTTATTATATCTGCTATATTATTTAATACCATATTAAATTGAAATGCATTCTATTGAAAACAGTGGCAAGCTTTGCTAACATACATTTTGCAAATGTTTAGGACCCAACAAGATTAGAAGCACCTAATCAAGGCAAAAAATACTCTGCCTCAGCAAATTGACATGTGACAATTGTTATATTAAATAATCATACTACAGATGGACTTGTACAAGTCAATGTAATTAAGCCAGATTAATTTGACACCTGTGAGGTCTACAGAAATTACAAAAAAACTGTTAAATATCTTAGTGGGGGGAGAACGGATAGAGTTCTGCTGTCTCAGTACTGTCCAAAAAAAAAAGAAGAGTCTACAAGAATAGAAAAAGCCTCAAAAACAGTGTCTAATCACTTCAGATCATAGGGAGATATCTTTAAACTTTTAATCAAATAAAAAAATTTCAAAATTCTGACTTTATCACATACACAGATTCAGCCAAGGAAGCTCTAAGCATGACAAAAGTTGCTGAACAGCTGGTGAAACAACTGAGGAGAGCAGAGAACCATGAGAGGTTAGAAATTGTCTTTGAGGTCCTGCAAGCACTTGCAGAAAATGGTAAGGCTCCTCTGGGTCTGGTGGAACAAGGGGAGACTGGATATTGTACTGGTTTAAGGTCTGGATTCCAAGTTTGCCACGGGATCCTGCTAACAAAACCAGCAACCCTTTCAGGAGAAATAAGCCCCAAGAAATAGGAGCTCCTGGCCCAAACAACACTTGAACAACAACAACAAAGGAAGGAGGGAGAGAATACAACTCCACGGCATTTCAGTAGATCCAACAGACAGCACGTTCAAACTTAACTCTCCACAGTGGGTAAGAGGAAAGCAGCAACACAGAGCAGTTTTTAAATTTTAAAAATCAGAACAACCGGGTACCAGTTCAACCCCTGTTTGGGCCATTTACTTAAGAGTTGGACTTGCTGCTCCTTGTGGATCCCTTCCAGCTCAGAATATTCTGTCATACTCTAAGCAGCAGTGCAACAAGCACTGACACTGCTCTGCTGAAAATATCTAGATATCTGACACAGATTTTAAAGACATGAAAGCTCATGACTGGCAATACAAGAAATGTCAAAGACCAATGCAGAAAGCATTGCTCATTCTGCCTTGGTGTCATCCAGAAAGCTGGAGCTTTTATATTTACAAACAAAACCATAACAGTGACTGGACCTGAAAAATGACTGGCTAAAGTTCAAAGATTTAGCTTTCTAGTTTGAAATACTTTCACAAAAAGCCAAGAAGCTTTTAATGTGCTTTTACTGTGATCTCTACAGATGCCCTGAAAGTGCAGTTGGTGGATGCAGGTGTGCCAGAGGCGCTGTCTGAGATCCTGCTGAGGCTCCAAGGCAGCTCACAAGCTGAGGATACCTGCATTGTGAAGGCTGCATCGGATCTCATCGTCTCTCTGCTTCTTGGAGGTAAAATGGGGAATATTACAGGCCAGGTGCATAAAGAATCAACATCCAGAAGTCTCTTTAGCACAGGAGTTCCCATCTCTGTTGGTTTCTTTTACTTAACAGGGACCCATCCACAATCTCTTTTATCATCCTTGCAGGAATTCTTCTCAGGCATGGCACTTTTCATTTCCACAGCCTATAGCCCAGTGCTTATGCCTAACAGCAACTTAGTTTATAGGATTGCTATGTTGTATTTTGGGCAATACAGATTTAAAAAATAAAATATCAAGAACTGGCCACTTACACTGAATCTCACTACTCTCAACCCCAAAGTAATCATCAGCATAAAGGTCTTAAATTATTAACCTTAACAACAAATTAAGTCATCACCAACTGACAGAACAGTCCAGTTTGGGGGCTAATTATAATCAGATATGAGTTTATTCTCTATTTCTCATAACACAAATAAGTACATACAGAAGGTTTGTGTTAAGGGCTGTGGCATCATCTCGTAGAACAAGGATACTTGCACCACATCCAGACTTGCTGTACCAAGACAGGGGCAAGGCTTATTGCTAATTTTACAGAAGAAATAGTAAGGTTGGTTATTCTCTACCCTTCAAAGATGGAAAACCACTGTGAATGCAGAGAAAATCAACACTATCAGATTTCACTACCCCTTGGTTCTGAAAGTTACTTTATTTTCTGCAGACTAGAGACTTGGATGCTTTTAAGTTACAGATGCCAGTGATACTAAAATAATTTGGGGGTCATAATTGTGAAGAAAGGGGTGATCAGGTTTGCAAGCTTTTGCACTTTTCTTTTTCCTGAGCCACACTTTATTAGAGGGGAGACTCTGGAAAAAATGCCAAATATATTTGTTAGAAATTCAAAACAAAACAAAAAACAATCCACAAAAACACTCAGAAAAGTCAAACAAACAAACCAAACACCCAAACAGAAAACCCCACAGAGTTACTGCTGGTTTAGGTTTTAAATCCTTTTAGGAAGGGAGTGTTACTGAGACATCAAGGTGGGGCAGGGAGAAATCTCAAGATAAGCCATTTTATCTTTCAATTCCTATTATAGAAAGCAATGAGCCTTTATACTCTGCAGAGAGAAAGAGAGATTCTTATGAGCAGACTCCTGGAAAGCACGCTGTGCTCAATCAGTCAGCAAAAGATCCCCACCACACTGCCCGTCCTTTCTCACTGACAGCTACTGTACTGGCATCAAACTCAATTAACAAAATTGCTCAACTCTCTGCATTAATCGGCCCTTAATTATTAGAAAAGATTCCCTCACATCTGTCTGAATGTTGGTTTTGGGGTTTTTTTTAAAGAAGGCTATCACCCACACATCTCTTCACCTCCACCTCACAATCTTTCTGGACTCCCTTTCTTCCTTGCCTGATACCTTGTTCTGAATCAGCCATTGTGCATCATGGTCTGCAAAGGGCACACAAGTGCCCCCGGTGCCTTTAACTGGCTATTTCCAATTACTCCCTCAATGCCTTGCTTTGTCACTCCTCTTCTCCCCCCATCTTCCCCACAACAGCGTCAGATGTTTCATGTGGGAGAAGTGAATAACCCCTCTCATGCCTCAGTGTGTGCCACTGATGTATGCACAGCTTTTAATCTGAGAGAAAAAAAAAATCCTGTGGAAATCTGTTCTCAGCATCAAATGACTTCTAGGCAGTGAAAAGATGACAGACAGCTTTTGCAGCTATGAAAAGTGGCTGTTCCCATCAGACTTTAACTATGAGCCATTAAATTGAAAGTTCTGCTGCTATCCAAGCAAAAACTCTATAGGAGAGAAAAGCAATTTGGAGCTCTGTGACAATCAAAGCAAGGCAACCACTAATGGGCTCTGCCTATTTGCACTTTACTACATGAAGAAAAAAAAATGTTCTGACATTCTTCAGTTTGAGAGGTGGGGGAAGAGAGAAATTAAGTTCAATTAAGGTTAGTCTATATGAAGATCAAAATATTTTCCCAGTAGAATTTTATCAGACCAAAAGAGATGACCTATTTCTATGGAATCTGTTCTTAAAGAGGTCTGGGCAATTTTTCTCATAAACTCTGATCTCCAAAGATTAGGACTAAGCAAGAGAACACTTGAAGAATGACAAGCAAAACCATCAGCTTTAGAGAATATATGCATAAAATGGTATCAAATTATTTTTGTGTGAGTAGAATTCCAACTATTTCACAGACTTACAGGTCTCTCATGAAAACATCCAATTATGTTTTACAAGCATTTGACAAATTCTTATCTAACATATATAAGAGTACAGGGCAAGAACAGGCTACTAAGGGAAATGCTAAGACAGGAAAAGAATAATAGGCACTCGTTCAAAAGATAACAGGAGTGTCTATGACTTTGACTTGGAAATAGCATCCAAACCAGCAAAGGTGTTAAAATTACTAAGGCCTTTTTTTACATGCTACACACACAAAAATTAGAAATCTGTATGCCTCAGTCTGTAAACTCAGAACCATGAGAAGTACTAAAGCTACTTTTGCCAGACCATGTATTTGGATGAGGTGTGTATAGTTCCATGGATAACTCTTTATTCCAGGTGAATATGTTTTGCCACTTTTAACAAACAGCTTTCACAAGGTAAGTGAACAGCAACAAGGAGATGTTCATGTGTGTCAGGCATATACTTCTCTTGAGGTATAATAAACTACATAAAGCAAAATACAGGAAATTCTTTTCCAAATGGCATCTTCAAACCCCTTCCTTCGGAAAGATGCCATCTGTGCCAAAGGGAGTTACCTTTTGCTCTTTAGATGAACTTTCTAATTTCCTAACAAGGTGAGCTAAGCAGCTTCTGAAAACAAAGCTGCCACCTGTAGAGAGCAAATTCTCAGACAGGAGGAGAGATCCAGACATGCACTGACAAAATACAGCAGAGCATTGCTGGGCAATGTGGTAGCTTTTTGGAATATACAAATCTGCTCTTTCACTGGGATTTAATAAACCAGATCTCTCCAGGTCAACTCATGCTTTCTGAGCTTCATGTGAATGCAATACAAATAGAGTTCTTATGTCAGAAAGTGGGTTTCTCAAAAGAGGCAAGAAAAACCTAGCTTTCATTCTTTCAAGGAGTAGTTAATGACAATTTATTTCATAGAAAACAAAGAATAACAGCAGTACAGAACTAGCAATCAGGTTTACCATTGGTAGGTAAGATCCCTGGTTTCACAACAGTGTCTTAAATCAGTAGAATAGCAAAATTAAAAGAGTGTTAAAGCTATGCTGGTGAGAAATGAAAAATGTCACTGGTATTTTACTACATGTATAGTGGAAAATGTAGCAGGACTGAGGGTAAAAAAGGGACTGGAGAACCTTTGGTTTTGAATTTGACAGTGATTGTCCCTTGAAAGGTCTCTCAAACGAAGCTCCATTGCAGTCTTGTCTCAGCATCAGTTTACAGGTAGCTGATGCTCACTTCTCTCTAAAGAGCTGAAGGTTGCAAAAAACAATACAAAAACTATAGTCTTGATCTTGGCAAGGCATGAAAATAGTCAAGGCAAAGATTCCCTGAATTCTGAATTTGCACCATTCGTTTCCATCACTGTGTTTCTTACCTGTCTCACCTGCTCGGCTCTGCCTCTCTCTTCAGATGGCAACTGTCTGCGAATGTTCCAGCTGGGAGTCATTCACCAGCTCCTGGATCTTCTGGAGAAACACATCCAGAGCAGGGACACCTCAGTTCAGCAGGCTGCCCTCAGTGCACTGCAGAACCTCGCTATTCCAGGTGCACAGTCTGAACACAAGTGACTTACTGCCATTCTCGGTACAGATGGGTCACCTCTGCAGCTCTGTCCAAGTCACAGCCCCTTGTGTTTTGAGGGGCAATTGACCTTTTGCTTCTCCCCTGTAGGAACACATAGTTGAATAATTCATCAGGACTTCCTCATCTACCTAAAGAGTTTAAATATAATAAAGTGTAATCTCATTACCAGCTGCTGAAATAGTTTCATACTAATAGCACACAGGAGCTCAAGACAAAAAAAATCAGAACAGAGCTCATAGCTTAAAATACAGAGTATGGGGTGGAGACACCTGCTAGGGATGTCAAACTTTCTCTTCTATAAAGCTAATATTCATTCATATTACACAGAACCAGTAAATCAATGTTCTTTGAAGCTGCATTTTTAAAAGCTCAACCAATTATAAAATATCAATATAGAGCATTTTGATTATCTGTCCCTTTCAAGTCTATTACAAACCATTTTAGATGTTTCCAAGTGTGTGGACACTTAAAATGCTATTCCTACAATGTACCTTTCCTCATCAATTCATAAAAAATCAGTAATTTATCTGTAATATTTCTTAGATATTCTCTAACAGAAATACAACACTTCTAGAAACACAAACTCCATCACTTTCAACAATATAATCCGTGACCTGAAAAAGAAAGATAAAAGACACTGAGTGGAAATCCATAAACATGAATTAAATATGGGTCAACACTTGGAAATAGACACAGAAGAACTCTTCAATTCAAGTATTGATCTTAAAAATGAACAGATGCTTATAAAAAATTGAAAAAGTCATTATCATCTAGTAAAAGGAGTCAGTCTGTGCCACTGAAAAACAAGGACATTAGGAACAAGTTACTTAATAGGGTGTGCTTCTCAATTTGCCCAATAAAAGGATGAAGGGATATAACAGTTATCTCCCCCATTTCACTGTCCAATCTTCCTCACCACTCTCCCAAAAATATATGCAGAAGATAGTAAAAAAATTCCTCTGAAGTAAGCAGCTTTTGGTAGCACAGTTAAGCAGTATTAAGACTCCTTCCAGACAAGCTTCTGGTTCTTACAAGGGATTTCCACTAGAGCAAAGACATAAAAATGAGGAGAGGAAAGCACAGAAACAAAGGCATGAACAACAGGGGATTAGCAAGCTCAAATACAAAAAGAAAATCCATTTTCAAGAAATATGGCTGCGTAAATCACTTCTGCCCCCAGTTCAGTTAAGATGAGCTAGCACAGAACAGGCTTCCTCATGTGACTGGGCAAGTGGGTGGATAATTTATTACAACTAGAAAAGGGAAGAGAAACAACAATACTGTGTTTTATGTACTTGGTTCTGGGCAAGGCTAAGATCAAAAGTAACCAAAACTACCTAAAAGCAGTTCCTATAAAATTTTTAGCCCAAACAGAAGTCTAAACAACCAGCTAGTCCTGACTTAATTTCTGAGCCCTCTAATAAATTGGACTTTTCACCAGAAGCCCAATACAGCCCACACTTCACAACAGTTCTGTCACATCTACATTTTCAGATGTTTGTGCCATCACTGAGCCTCACACCAGCGTCTCTTGTCCATTTTGCAGTGGTCAGCAAGGCTCAGGTGCTGGAGGAAGGCGTCGCAGAGCGGATCGAGGCGCTCCTGAGGTCAGAGAGCCCTCCCGTGCAGCTCAGGCTCCTCGGAACGCTGCGCTCCTTAGCGGACGGACAAGGTGGGCACCTGCCAGCCTCCAGTGACAGCGGCCGAGAGCTCCCTCCCCCTGCACAAGCACGGGCTGGGTGCCCTGCTGACCCAATTCCGCTCCATCTGGAGAGCTTCCAGCAGAGATTACTGCCAGAGGCTCGTGCTTTGCAGACTGCCCCAGTCAGCCTCAGAGGTAGTTGAGTAACAAAGCACGTGGAACAGATCCACAGCAGTCAGAGAGAAGGGGCAAAAAGGCCTAAAAAGAAGATGTTTTTCACCAGAGATAGAGCAGCAAGGCATGAATATGATGAAAAAGAGCCAGGTTTTAGTGTCAAATCACAGGACAGCAAATCAATAAAGAACTAGAGAACATAAAAGGAATAAAGGGAGCTGGTGTGGAGCAAAGCAGGAGAAATTAATTTCTACCAGTCTTCCTATACACGTTGCCAGTTTTATCTTGTTCATGTGGCTCAAATGTTGAATTTACTTTGCATGTTAATGTATTGGATTATCTACTTGCACTTAATTCAGTTTAACACGGAGAGGGGTATACAAAAGCAACAATAATCATTCTGTGCACATCATTGCATGTTGAGAAACATGCACAATGTTGGAATTACATTAAGATATACTTCAATATCTTAATTTATCCTTAGGCTTACTTAGCTCTTAGCAGACCATGGCACAACAACAAACATTGTGCAGTTTGGTACTGTCTTGCAAATTGCCAGAGCAGCTGCTCTGGAGCACTAATCAGTAGTGATTCCTTGATATGCAGGAATAACATAAGTTAAAAACAGAATAGTTATGACCATTTTGTGATGGGAAGTGCTAATTGACATAGGACAATTACACACATTGCTTCATTAGTTATATGGTAGAGGATAAAACCTCACTCTGCTACATTGCATGCTGCACTCCATTGCAACCACTTATTACAAGAACTATTTGCATTTTTTATCAAATTAATATGCATGATAGAAAATTTAGATCTAGTCCTTATATTAATTTGCACTACTTTCAGTCCAGTGAAAAGCTGCTTTCACTTACATTTCACCATGGTAGGAAATGAACATTACAAGATACATAAAAACTTAGCATCTTCTTGTTCTGAGGCTTTGAAGAAATAATTGTAAGGTCATTTCTCCAAAGTTCTCTCTCAATTGTGACAGGGCATTTAACATTTAAAATTGAGACATCACAGTAATATAGATCTAAATTATCAAGCACAAAATTATCTTTTTTAATTTTATTTATCAGCCCTAATACAAAGTTGAAATTTGGCACGAGGTACAACTTCTGAATCTGAAAAAACATAATCATCAAAATGCAAAGTAGAATAAAATATGTAGGAGACTCAAAGTTTATCCATTCCCACCTATGAACACACAATTCTCCCACTTTTAATTACCTTCTATTCTGTTTACCCATGAACTAATGTTGCCCTTAATTAACTCAGCCTGAAACTCTTATGAACACACATCTACTAAGAAGTCCACACTAAATTAGTTAATTATCTTATTTAGTGTAAATTCATTACTCTATCAACAGGCATGCTGAGGCCTACAGACTAGAAGAGGCAGGTTTCTTCCTAACCACAGAAAACTGCAGGCAGATCTCTCAGCTTCATTACTCTAGAGAGATGTTTAACTCCTGGTTCTTCCACCATTGGGCTTCAGAGGAGCAGAATAATCTGTGCACTTCAGTAGCCAAAGGACTTTCATCACAACTGAAAGTTCAATCTTATAAAATGACAAATTAGAATAAATTGTAAGTTAAAAGGTCTTCCTGTTAAGAATATCTAAATGGGTTTTATCTCAAAGAGCTCTACTGCATGTCAAACTGAGTAAAGAACCTGCCTTTGCAACAAATCTCTCAAACTGGTTCCATCCTCTAGCCTCTCACTTCAACTTTCTGTACTAAACTGGATTACTGTGATCTCTGCAGACCAATGAGGAACATCTGACTAGAAACAAGAGTCTTGTGTAACAGGAGATAACATGCAGGGAGCTGTGCAATGCCCAGTAACTCTTACCTCAAAAACAAAGTATGTCAGATAGGCTATAAGCTTTCAGATGCCTTGTGGGATTTTGACCTGTGGATTGTTCCTTAGCATACTGAATAAATTAAAAAGCACGTGTGTGTACTTCCCCATCTCCCTCCCCCAAAACAGAGTATAGGCTGACTTACAGCTTCTGGAAAATATCCAGAGCAATCATGGTTTATTGACCCTGACCTTCTGGTGCATGCTCCATCTGATTGTTCCAGCATATCTCAAAAGAAATGCAATGAACAGGTAAAGGAACAGGAGCAGGGTGATGACTCTATCAAACCTATCCTTCCTGTTACAGATGTTAACATAATTAGAGTTCCACTATCTAGGAAAAGTTATGTAGTGAGGTTTTTTCAAATGTCAACCACAGACACTAATATTTCCAGCAAGTCTTGAGATAGGGATCCTGAAACACAGGAGAATGCAAATTAAAAGGTTCTTCCACACTAAGGGGAATTTCTGGTAATGCCTTATACATGGTTCAACACACATTCTAAAGACTTAGGTCATCCAATTACTGACATGCTGCCATTCTGTACTAAGACTTTGCTTCCTACACTACCAACAGTAATGAGTTATGACTGAAACAGCACAAACAGGCTCCCAAGAGCCCACAATTACATCTGTGCAGGGCTCAAAGTGCAAGTGCCAAAAGCCAAGTGGGAAAGGGATGGGCCTCCTCAAGTATCGCAACAGAACATTTCTTTTCAAAGACAGAAATCTGCTTTTTTAAAGCCCTACTTCAGCAGCCCCTTTAAAAGGATAGGACCATTGGAGCAGCTTTTTTGTCCTTCCCCTGCACGATCCCCTTGGTAAAGTTTTCTTCGGTAAATATTTCCGAGATCTTTTAGCAGTTCAATGCTTCAATTAGAGCTCTTGAAGGTCGCTGAGTGCAGGTCCACAGCCCCAGTTAGTCCTACACCCACATTCCTGTGACAGACAGACTGAGGGGTCTGATTTTGAATGTCTCTGAGTGATGCTTGTCTCTTCAGCTGATGCAGCTGAAATCCTGGGCCAAGACCCCCAGCTGCTCGGCAGGCTGGTGCAGTGGTGCAGTGCGAGCGACCACAGCGGCATCGGCGGAGAGGCAAACCGGCTGCTGGCATCCATCCTGCACCACAACCGCTCCCAGGTACGAGAACCACTGCTCCAACAGATTGCTACCTCACCCTTCTCAAACAGCCTTAAAGCTTGGAGACAGAGCTAGGGATTAAACAGCACATACAGATTAGCAGTGAAAACCTCTCTGGTCTGCCTCAATAGCAAAGGGGGGAACCTGTGCACTCTGTAAGCACAGACACCTCACAGAAATGAGCACCACTTGTCACTTATTGTCACTTGTCAACACTCACCCTGCTTGAGTAAGGCCTGACAAATGGTAAGCAGGTTAAGCTTCTCTATGGCCATAAATAGGTTTCAAATTTCAAATTAAAATGGTAAAAATAATCCAGAGCTGTCCTAAAAGTCAGTCCTCTGGAAGCTCCAAAGAGCCCACTTGTCCATGATGACGAAATCTAGCATGATCTTTATGTGCTGATATTTTTGAACAGGCTTCTGATTTTTATAAATTGTGCTATTACACACAGGCATCCCAGCCATGCTTTACTATGAGGTAGTGACTAAAAAAACAGATACTCTCTGCACAGGCTTTGATAAAGCAAAACTAATCCTTGCTACTTTGATGGCTTGAAATGAAAGAGTAGAATAAGGACTAACTGAAATAAGACAAAATATATATTTATCTTACAGATATGCATCTATAGTTAATTCTAAGTATTGATATTCCAGGTATATTTCACCAGCCCTAAGCGGACATGTATGATCAGTGCCAAAAGCAGTGTCAGCTCTAGACTTTGAGTACTGTCAGTTTGCATTGCAGCAGACAAATAATTTCCCTCTATTCAGAAGCTGAAGAGTGCAATCTCATTTCCCTCTTCATTCTACCATATTCCTAAATCAGATTTCCATCTGTTTAACCTTTGCTTTCACAGGAAGTGGTCAAAGCCATCCAGGCAGCACAAGGAGTGAAGCATCTGGTTTCCATGACAACAAGTGAACATGCTGCCATGCAGAATGAGGCTCTGAACGCCTTGGCAATAGCATCTGCCATCGATTTAGGTATCTTCCTCCTCAAAGCATTTACCTGTGAAAGATCCTCAGTTATTAAGAAACATTGTCATGCTGTTAATTCTAGGTAACGTATGAAAAATCACACTTCTTGTCTGGATTTAGCTCTTCAGCATGAAATAAAGGTGGTCACCATTCAAATCACAAAATCAATAGGCTTTGGGAATGGCCTGAAGTATTTTTTTTATTTAGGATAGAGTCAAATTATCACGCTGTGTGGACAAGTACTATTTGAATAGCATAATACAATGCTAGAAGCCTACATTAAAAAAAAGGGAAAGTGAAGGTGATGGGAATAAAAATGATGAAGGCTAAATGAAAGACAAATTATACACTCAAATGGTTAATGAAAACTATAAGTAGCAGAAAAAAATCTTCAGACAGACACAAGGACAGAATAAAGTAGAAGCATAAATAAAAAGGCACTGTAGAAGCTGCAAATGAAGCAAGTGAGAAAACTGTAATGATTCAAACGACATTTCCTGAGCTCATTTTCAGAGTTATGCACAAATTTTTTCAGATTTTTCCTGTATAACTTGAAGATAGGTCTCAATTTATTACAATAGAGAGACACCACAGAAAACTATGTACATCAGTAGGTAAATTGAAGAGAAAACCTTGAAATTTCTAATTTCCTATATCAACATGTAAGACTGAAAAGCCCATTTTACTGCTTGTCTACCATTAAAACTCTCAAACTCACTTAGGCAGCTAATGGGAATCAACATTTCTAGCACTGAACATTGCAGGTTTTAATTTACTATGAGGTTAACTATAATACAGTCAATAGTAGACTGGTCCTGCCTTCAAGAATAAATTCTGTAAAGAAATTCTGTACAGGAAAGAGCACAGAAATACTTCAGTGAGGACAGATGCTCAAGACATCCCTTAGAGCAAGTTTGAAATGAAGCCATTCCAGAGTTTGGGGTTTTTTTTAAAGCAAGAATATTCACTTTATAATTTCTGTTCAGATAACAGCTCAGTGTTGCTATTTTTTTGCTTATGCTTTCAGAAACCCTTGAAGAATCTTTTAAGGAATCACAGCTAGTTCAAAGCTTACACAAACTTCTACGAGATGATAATACAAGTCCTGAGGTGAAACACAATTCAATGGGCCTTCTGTGCAGACTTCTTAATTCAGGTAACTTCATTTTCAGTTGTCTGTGATGGAAGGAAGAATATTTGTGATGAAGATAAGTGGTTTCTGTTACCCAAATATGCTGCCTCAATGCTCCAGTGAACGAGTAAAGGATATCAGAGGTTCATTAATTACCAAAATCATACTCAAGTAGTTTCCTTCTCTATGAAAAGCTGATTAAACCATCAGCTGAATAAAATAAAAGAGAAAGGAAAGCTTTATTTCAGTGAGTCAGTGGCAAAACCAAGTCCCAAAATAGCAAAATTAGAGTCTTGGAGTAAAGGCATCTTTGTCCAACTTCACCATGCACCAAAGCCTGGCAGTCCCAGAGCATTTCTGTGTCCAAAGACACAAAAAAGCAGGCATGCATTTCTTCTGCCTGTGCTGTGAACAAACCAGAAGTTGAGATAAAGCAGCCATTTTAGCTGCCTTCACACAGTGACTTTCAGTAAAGCATGTGAAGGGCACAATTTCAGTTTTACTCCATTGTCAGGGAAGACTTCAGGGATGCTTCAAGCAGGATGGGACTATGCTGGATGTGTAGCACTACAGGAAAACGAGCACCTTGAAACCAGGAGTCCAAAGATCTCGTGGTGGTTTCTCACATCTTAACAAAAATTACATAAATTGAAAATAACTATTGTACTTAGGCAAGGATGGATCACAAGGAGAGCTGCCTTTCAAATCCTGGAACCACCCTGTACTGACAGACAAGCTGGATTTTGCAAAAGACTCTGTTTTATCCCCACAGCCACACAGATACTGGAATAAAGAACTTTCAGTTTTCAGTGGTACTATAAAGTATTGACATAATAGATACAATCTGTAAGACTTTTTCCCAGACATGTATATACTTAGCACTTTATAGACTAACCATAAGGCTAAGAGTCAAATCTTACTAATATGGAATGGCAGCAAAAAGTATGCAGGTAAAAAAAGTGCTAGAAATTGTCCTGTATTAGAATTTCAGAATTTGCTTTTTCTGTCAATCAGTTCTTGGAATTCAAGCAGGACAAAAAAGCGTTAATCTGTCCAATATTTCCAATGGTTGAAAGGGTATCTATTGAGAAAAATGTTTTAATTGAGGCAGCTTATTAGGAACAGCAAATACTCCAAACTTCTATCTTACAACAATTGTTGGGAGCCATTATGCCATGGCAGGTAACTAAAAGTCATCCATTCATCTTCCATTCAGGGGATCTGAGACAAGAAATAGAAGAGGACAAGATCAAAGACACCCTTGAGCGACTCTGCAGTCACAGCAATGCAAATGTGGTCAGGGAAGCCATCACAACACTACAGGTGTTGAGAGGAGAGACACCCCACTAACCTCCCTTCTCCCACATGGCAAGCCAGCACTGCTGCTGAGGCAGACACCACCAGCTTGGCAAGCCTTGCATTTGCCCTGCTGCTGCACAACCAGCACTGCTGAAGCCCAGGTGCAGCTCCTGCTTGGAAAGCTGTGCACAAAAAACCTCTCATTAGCACACCTGTTTGGCCTGATATTAGCACCACTGCTGCTCTTCACTGAGCCACTAACACACAGCAGCAGGAAAAAGTCCTGTCAAGCAAATGGTGTTAAGAAACATCAGGCAATTACCACTCATTATACATTTTTCAGCTGCTTGGTTTTGTGAGATTAGGATACACACTCGCAATTTTTCTTGTATCAATGGGACTTTTAAATAGTTATATAAAAGTCTTAAGCTTTTATCATGCAGACTGAAACGTGAGTTAGATTAAAGCTGTAGCTTAAACAATGCAAAGGCCTAACTGGAACTAATTCAACATGTTGAACATGTTAAAACCAAAACTATCTTTAAGCTATCTCCCCCTTCAATCTCCAATTTTAAAGCTCATCTCTGAAACTGTACCTGCTCCTGTCACAAGTTATATTCCTAAACACTTGAGGCTACAGTCTGGTCCTGATTTCAGAGTTGCACCTACTGGAATGAGACCCTGTAGAAGCAAAGTTTACAAGAAACCACAGTCTGTGAACACACAGTGCTTGGACAAGACACAGAAATAAAGCCAGTCAAATTACAAGTGGGCAGGGATGAGGATGTGAAGGCAGACAGTGTTCCATTATCACTCATAAGAGAACCAGGGTTTAACTTTAGATAATGGAAAAAAAAAGTCATGCTGTCCAGACCTAGGAAATCAAATTCAAAACCATCAAGTGTTAGAGACTGAAAAGCTTGGGAGCAATTTTTTTTTTTAGCTTTTTTAGAAAAGCTATTGAGAAAAAAAGTAAACAAGCACTGATCTTCAGAAACCTATTATAAAGCAGACTGTATTTAGAAGCCAGTAAGGCCTCATGTTCTCAATTTGAGAACAACTGGCTTATGTCTGCAAACAAACATGCCAACTTAGCTCCTGCAAAAGCTTCCCCAGTTGCAAAACTCAGTAACACTACTTAGCCCACTACACTCATCACCAAATATCACTCTCAGGAGTAGTCTTGAGAAAGGGAATTTCATAAAAACACCACTGAGAAGTGTCATTTGTTGAGTAACACACAAAACAAGTTTTGACCACATAATAGGAGAAAACAGAAACAGCACTTTGAACTTTTTTTCATGTCCAGAGATTTAATAGTTACCCTACACCATTCTGCAGCTCTTCACTTGTTCGTGGCTTTCCATTAACAACGCAGAGAAAAGCATTAGTCTTATCTATTATTCAACAGCCCAAACTTGAAAGAAAAAAAAAAAAAAATCAAGAATTAGTTTCAGCAAAATACAATACAATGCCCTTGAACCATTACCATTTCTGAGTTGTCCACAAACAGCAGTCTCAGTAGCCAGTCTAAACCTTTGAGGGTGAAATAGTAGTGACTGGAAGCAACAAAACTCAGGAATCAAACTCCAGGAGTAGAAAATATTAAATTTTATTTAATCAAATTTAAGGCTTGAGAAAAAAAAATATTTTGAAAGTCACTCAGGAAAGCCATCTCAAAAGAGGAAACAGGAGCTCCTCTTCCAGTGGCTGAACAATATTCAAGCTGCATGACAATACACAGGCAGTAAGGGGAAGAAAGAGGGAAGGATGGAATGGGGAGACAAAACCCAAGGCAATTCTACACATAAATCAATGGCCACATTGAGCCCCACGGGCTGGAAGCACAAGTCTGTCCACATGGCACTGCATGAGGTCACCAAAGCTAAAGACCTCTTGGGAAGAAACATTCAGGTTTTCACGAGGCAACCCGAGGTCCTTTAGTCACTGCACTTTTTTCAGTGCTTATGTTCATTCTCCTCTTCATGTACAGGGAAACTGTGTCCAAATGCAGTTATATCAATAAAAACAGAGGCAGCTGCACTGTCAAACAGACTGACAGATACATACATTGCTTAACGGAAATAAATTGTGCTCATTTCTGAGAAATAGAAGTGATCACACTGAAGTTTGCTTTTCTCAGTCCAGTTCTTCAAGTCTGACCTCATTCGACATCTTCATTAAAAACCTTGGTTCCACTGTAGTGTTTGTGAAGCTGTTCCAAACACAACCTCTGAAATCTCAGCATCAGCAATGTATCAGACCTCTCCGTGAGATCACTGAATTACTTTTCCTTTGAGGCTTTAGAGGCAGGCTCACACCCAGCTGCTTTTGCTGACAAGACTTTTTTTAGGCCATCACCTAAACCTTTAGCCATGAAGTCACTGCAGGTCCACAGAGAAGGTGCTAAATAAATCTAAGTATTCCCATTACAAGTCTGAAATTACACTAGCCATGTATGGGTGTCCTTCAGAACATACAGGGGGCAAAACCATCTAGAGTCACAGAATTTTAAAAATTATAATGAATAAGCACAGAGAAGTTTATCCACAGTGGCAAAAAAGAAAAATCACTCCATGAATTTAAAGAGCCTCAAACAAATTGACATTCTCTTAAATTCAGTTCCAAATAACTGAAACACTGATACAAAGGCTGGTGCTAATATGGCCAAAGCCATTAAGAACAATCTGTGGAAAGACAATACTTAATTAAATTCTGGTTTGCATACAAACAGTACTTTAAAAAGTATTAATTTGTCTTCAGGTAACTTGGCAAGATTTGCAGAACCTGGAATCCTAATCTGTAATGCTGGCTCTTGTCAGCAGCTAATTTTGGTGCCTGAAGTCCACAGCCATCTTTGACACCAGATGATTTCCACCAAACTGCTGGACTTCCTTTCTAGCATTAGGAGTTGGCTGTGTCAAAAACTGGCAAAGGGAAATGTAATCCCTAGCTGGTGTTTCCAATGCAATGTTTTATGATAAAGAAGTTCCAAAAGGAAGCATCCCTCTCTAATTTTACATATATCAGATTATCATAAACCTTAACCAAGTAAGTTGGTTGGTGAGGTGTTGCAAAGTTTCAAGCACCAGAATTTAAAGCAAAGCTTGCTGGCCACTGCTCTGTTGCTTGCCAAGTCATAGTACAATCACACATTTCTGGCTGCTCCTCGTGGATCAGATTCAACAAATAAGTAATACAGACCTCAAATTCATGGCTTTACAGAAGAAATGCCTCTTGCTCTCCCCTCAGTGATCTACTGCTATTGTTTTCTTGTGGTATACCAAAGTTTAAAAAGTGCACTTCTAGCCTTTTACTTTCAGGTCTTCAGATGAGTTAATAGCAGGCTATTCTTTACTACTGTAAGGAAATAAGCCATCCTTAGGCAAGCTTCCTTTTCCTGTTGTGTCTCAATCACCAGCCAGAAAAAGAACTATGAAAGCTGAAGTGCACATGAGCACTGTCTGAAGTGCTTCACAGATTACAAGCTAGGATATCTGGACAATCAACCAGACACAGATTCTTACTGTTGATCAACTTTTGCCAGTGAAATGTTTGTTAATACATGCATAATAGAAAAAAAGGACATAATATATTTAAAAGTCTGGCTTCCAAAGAAAGCCGTATACCTTAGAAATACAAGTATTAAATCCTTCAGGCACACTACGTATAGTAAAATATCATTATAAAAATATATACTTTTCTAAAATTTACACTGTGTTAGGCACATGCTCTCCCTGAAAAACCTGGTGTCACTGGAAGCAGTAAATGATGTTGGTTATATGGCCCACAGTAAAACTGACAGCTACAGCTACTTCCAAGAACTTTTCAGCCACATGCTTTTACCTTACAGCTAAGGATACAACACCAAAGTCTTACAGAAGAGACTGGAACTCCTACTGAACTACAGATCCATCTACTAACCCCCACAAAGGCAGGACTGGAAGAAGAGTTTATTTTCCTCTTGATTAATTAAATATGAAATTAAAATAAAAACGCTGATGTAAGGACTAATTCAGCTTCATGTAGAAAATGACTGAAGAAATCATTCTGGTTCACTGCATTTTGATTCACATTTGAACCATGAACCAGCCAGGACTGATGGCTCAATAGTTTTATACCAGACTTTAAAAATTCAACAACTCTATCTTTTGCTAAATTTGTACTTCCTTGTTTAAAAACGTATTTCAGTTCGGATTAACACTGAATTTTTAAGTCTTTCATCTGTCCTGGTAGTGGCAGTTAAGACTTGTGAAGATTGACATAGCAGTTGTGAGAGAAAGTAGAGGAATAACAAAAGCCATCAACAGCCAGCACAGCATGCTTGCTGCCTACTGAAACAAGCTGCATTCTGAAGTGTATGCAGACAGCACTTTGTAAAGATATTACTGATCATTGAAAGGATAAGCATTTTTAAAGAGGTTTTTCTTCCATAAATAAAGAATATTTCCGTTTTTCTCAGACAGGAAACAGCATCAGGGCTTTACACTCTCTTGCCTGAAATGGAGATTTGTAAGACTTAATGCTACAGATAGATTTTTCCCACCTTGGGAACCAGCTTGCATTTTTCAAAACAGCGTGGGGTTTGCACAACCTAAAATCAATTAAAGATCTAGACAATTTGTAATTTTTTTTCCCCAATTTCCAATTATGGTTGCTGGATACATTGCCAAAGATAAGTCTACTGTAGAGACTAACATGATTGCAAGGTTCTGAAGAAATCAGCATGCGACATTTGAAAAAATTACATTTTAAGACAGATGACAGGAGTGAAGACAGAACAATCTTCAAAGCAACCCTTCAAGGAAAGGGTTTACAGCAGTTTCATGTCTCCCTGCTACAGTCTTTAAAATCTCTTCTGCCGATGTCTTGGAAATTCCATTTCTTCCTCAGAGATCAATGCTGGTGCACTGAGTTGTCTTGTTAGAAAAAAGGTAGACAGCATGTGTTTGGTGATTGTTTTTTTTTGTAACAGCTTCTAATAAAAAGCATGAGCCAGTAAAAAAAGTCCACATAAGGCTTTTAACAACAGGAGTATTTCATGGTCTGTGCATTTCTTCTGCCTTGGTGTCCAATCAAC